AACCACTTCCAGTGTAGTCAAAGCTGCCCCTTCTGCCTTCAGATAAATCTCACACCTTTCCCCCCCAGCAGGCCGAGGCCAATACCTTAGAGGAGTCATCAGTTGTCACCAGGGCTCATATAAATACCTCCAAGCAGGGCCCAAGGGCTGCCCTAGCCCATCCCCCACGCTGCTCTCCGGCCTTCCACACAGGAAAATCCAATGAGGCACCTTTCCTCCCTAAGGCCCCTAAGGCCCCGGCGACAGGGGCATCTGGAAGCAGGGCGACGCCTCCCAGTCCAGCCACCTGAGCAGGAACTCTAGCTCTGCTGCTCCCCTTGGGCAAGTCACCTTGCCTGCCTGAGCCTCCATTCCCTTACCCAGAAAGTAAGGTATTTTGAACTAGAGCAATGAATTTAAAACTTTTTAGCCCAGGACCAACAGTAAGAAATACATTTAAACCATAAAACACACACATCTACGCATCAGCACGTAACACATACAAAAATGCACACACAAAAAGCGCATGAAAGCATGCACATACAGACCACACGCATGTACAGGCACACACACTACACACAGACACACCTGTGTACACACAAATCATATTGTACAACATGGTTTCCCAATAGGATACACAGCCTTTCTATGTACAGTGTACTCCGATACTTTGTCCCCATCTATCTTATTCAATTTAAAAATTATAATGAATAAAATAATGCTGGTTGTGACCCACAGAATTTATTTCAAGCCTCTCTGAGAGGCTGTGGCCTGGTGTTGAGAAATCCTGAATTACATGATTTCTTAGATTCTTTTTACCATTTTAAATTAATCAATGTAGACTCTAAGTTGGACATCAGGCAACAAGTTTCTATAGTATACATTTCTATATTTTAAGTTTTTTGAATACGTATCTATTATTTTTACACTAGAAGATTTTTTTTTTAATATTTTCATTGTCGAGAGTACTACAGATGTCCCCCCTTTTTTTCTCTCCCTTGCCCCCCTACTGTCTGTGTTCATGGGCAATGCATATATGCATATAAATTCGTTGGTTAATCTCTTCCCACCCTCCCCCTTCCCTCTAAAGATATTTTTTAAATTTTGTAAACTTTTTTTTTAAGAGAATACATGGTCATTAGAANCAATGCATATATGCATATAAATTCGTTGGTTAATCTCTTCCCACCCTCCCCCTTCCCTCTAAAGATATTTTTTAAATTTTGTAAACTTTTTTTTTTTAAGAGAATACATGGTCATTAGAGAAATTATTGGAAATTCCAGAAGCAAAATGATTTTTTTTTAAACCTTCCACAATCACCTTTCACTTGGTGATAACTCTTTGGCAGATAACCTTTCAGCTTGTGTCCCTTTCATCTTTTCTCCCTGCAGGCATGCACAGGTTTTTCTCCCTAGTACAATAATTTTGAACATAATGGTGTTTTTTCTCAACAATATGTCATGAGCTTCTTTCCAAATCAATAAAAGAAATATCAACTAATCTAAAAGAATAGATTTAACATTCTCTTTTCACAGAGCAATAAAATTAGAAGTCAATATAAGAAGATAGGAAAAAATACGTCTGAAATTTAAAAAATATCATTCTAATAATGCATGAATTCAAGAAGAAATTGCAATAAAAATGTCAAAACATTGGAAACTAAAAAAATAACCAAAGCTCTACAAATCCAGAATTGTAAGGTGCAATGAATGTTGTATTTACGTGAAAATGTTTAGTCTTAAATGCATTTATTAGTAAATAAATCTTTAATAAGAAAGATTAAAAATAACTAATCTGATTTTTCAAAGCTGGGTAATAGTTATGTGTGTGTTTATTACATATATAAGGTTTTCTTTCACTTTTATGGGTATTTAAGATATCTCATAATTAAACTTTATATATATATATATATAAGTTTCAGGCACACAGCATTATACTTTGATATTTGTATACACTACAAAGTTATTAAAACTTTTTAAGAAAAATAAATGAGCTAGTTCAGGAAGCATTTGACTCAACGTAAATTCAAAGAAAGCAGGAAAAAATAAGGAAATACAAAAGCAGAAATTAATGATCATCAATAAAACTATAAACTAGGTCTTTGAAAAGACAATAAATAAACACTGAGAAGAAAAGAGAAGCCACGAATTAGGCACAGCATTAGGAATAAAGGGGAAGACATAACTGCAAATGTAGCAGAAAACTTTAAAACTATAGGAGAACAACATTATAAACTTGAAAAATATAAATTACAAAAGTAAATTTAAGGAGAAATAGAAGACTTGAATAAACCAGCAACTATTTAAAAACTTAAATAAGTTGCAGGGGAAAATGTTTTCCCATCTCTTCTCACAAATGGCACCGAGTGGCTTCACAGGCAGGTTTTAACAAACATTCAACAGATTATTCTTATTCGATACAACTGTCACAGGAAAAAAGAATTCTTTGAAGAAAGCAAGCCGCCAACTTATTTTCTGGCACAAAACTGTCTTAGCTTGAGCTCCCCTGAACACAGAGCCTGAGACGCAGGCTTGCATGTAGGTAGTTTATTGGAGTGTGATCCCAAAGCAGAAGTGAGGGGCAGAAGGTGGAAAGAGGGAAGGAGGAAAGCTGAGGTAAGGGCGCACCACTGAGCTGAGCTCCACTAAGGGACTGTCACCTCAGGACTGTCAGCCTGGGGAGAGAAAGGAGGGTGCACAGGCCCCCCTGAGTGCCTTGGGCACGTTCCCCGCTGGTGAAGGGCAGCTCCCCAGGACTTTCGGGTGCACTTGTGCAAGTGCAGAGCCGGTTTTGCAGGCATCCCATGCCTGAGCTGTAGGGAAGCCCTAGGAAGGATGTGAGAGGAGCATGAGACAGATCCAGACAAAGTACAGCAGGTTGTACCTGTCCAAAGCCAGAGACAAAGCAGCATGTGATGGGAGTAGGAGGTAGGGCTGGAAAGATTTTAAAATCATGCTCAAGAGATGTCTGATACAAAAACCAAAACCAGATATTTTGATTTTTGCTACCAAAACCAGATCAAAACTATATAAGAAAAGGAATCTATAGGCCATTCTCGCTTATATATAGGATGTCCCAAAAAATGTATACACACACTTTAAATAATTATAAAGGCAGTGTTTCTTAAAATACATTTCATTTTCATTTAACAGCTATTAGCTGTTAAAATGTGTATACATTTTTTGGGACACCCTGTACATAGATACAGAAGTCCTACATAAAATATAGGCAAATTTAAAAATAAAAACAAAATGTAATCATTTACATAGATGCAGAGAAAGCATTTGAATTTCACCAAACACACATTTTAAAAATCTCTTAACAAACTAGAAATGCAAAGAAACATCCTTTTATCAAAAACAAACAGAGCACCACAANAAAATCTCTTAACAAACTGGAAATGCAAAGAAACATCCTTTTATCAAAAACAAACAGCACCACACAAAGGTGAAGGCCTAAAAGTGTTCCCATTAAAATCAGGATCATATCAAGATGCTTGCTATGGCTTCTATATTAAATAAAGAAAAGTTCCAGAAATAAACCCTCATGTTTATGGTCAACAAGGGTACCAAGAAAACCCAATGGGGGAAAAATAGTTTTTTCAACAAATGGGGTTGGGACAATTGGATAGCCACATGTGAAAGAATAAAGGGAGACCCCACCACACACGCACCCAGCATGGAACAGCCTGACGAATCTCAGAGGAAAGGCGAGGGTAGGGGAGTGGTGGGGAGAGATTAACCTAAGAACTTATATGCACATATGCATAACCCATGGACACAGACGATAGTGTGGCGAAGGCCTGGGGGGGGGATGGGTGCAGGGTAGAGGGGGTCAATGGANCACACGCACCCAGCATGGAACAGCCTGACGAATCTCAGAGGAAAGGCGAGGGTAGGGGAGTGGCGGGGAGAGATTAACCTAAGAACTTATATGCACATATGCATAACCCATGGACACAGACGATAGTGTGACGAAGGCCTGGGGGGGGGGATGGGTGCAGGGTAGAGGGGGTCAATGGGNGCAGGGTAGAGGGGGTCAATGGAGAAAGAAAGGGGACATCTATAGTACTTTCAACAATAAAGATAAATTTTTGAAAAAGTGGGACCCCCTACCTCATACCATATTTTTAAAATAAACTCAAAATGGATCAGAGACCTAAATGTAAGAGCTAAATTTATGAAACTCTTAAAAGAAAACATAGGTACAAATCACCTTGGATTGGGCAATGGTTTCTTAGATGTGACAACCAAATCACAAGCAACAGAATAAAAAATACAGAAGGTGGATATCATCAAAAGGGAAAACTTCTGTGCTTCAAGGAGCACCATCAGAACAGTGGAAACACAACCCACAGAATGGGAGAAAATTTTTGCAAATCATATATCTGATAAAAGACATAGCTAAGAAATATAAAAAACTATTACAACTCAGTATGAAAAAGACAATCCAATTTAAACATGGGTAAACTACTTGAATAGACATTCCTCCCAAGAAGGTATATAAGTGGCCAATCAGGATTTGACTCCAGTCAGGCCATGAATTTTTTGTTGAAAGTGTCCTCAGAGTTCACTGGGTCCAGTCCTCCCATTTTAAAGATGAAAATGCTGCCTCGGTATTTGCTAGGTGCCAAGCAGTATTCTAAGGACTTTAAAAACATGAGATAGGTACAAAGCAAAAAATGGAGATAAAGATCACATAGCCAGGCATAAATGGCAGAGCTGGATAGAAAACCTAGCCTCGTCTGGGTGGTCAAGGAAGGCTTCCTGGAGGAAGAGCTATCTAATCTCAAGGATTTGTGGAGTTTAAGCAGAAGTTAAGGGAAGGACAACTCAGTGGAAAACTATTCGAGGCAGAGAGGGGCACATGTGCAGAGGCTGTTATGAGGAAGAAATGCTTGGCTTTCAAAGAAGGAAAATCNATTCGAGGCAGAGAGGGGCACATGTGCAGAGGCTGTTATGAGGAAGAAATCTTGACTTTCAAAGAATGAAAATCGTGAAAAGCATGGGGGTAGGATGGCATGGAATGTGGAGAAAAGCCGGAGAGATTACTGAGAGCCTTAGACCAAGAAGATGTTGGATTTATGAAGACAACAGAGGCCATTATTGGATTTTATGTAAGCAAGAGAATGTCTGGCTGAGCCCTCACCATACCACAGGCCATGATTCAGATAGGTAAGTGACCTGGCCCTTCCGCTCATATGTCCCCTCCCCAGAAAGGCCTTCCCTGAGTGCCTTAGCTTACACAGGGAGGAGGGGCAGAGCTCTGATTTGAGTGAAGGCTGGAAATTTTGATTGACCTAGACCATGATTGATAAGTTATGGGATCTGGCTGGGTTGAATCCTGTCAACAAAAAGGAAACTGCTCTATACATTAAAGAAAGAGTCCTTTCCTTTCCTCAGTTCTCAAGGGGGACTCCACCGGGCTCAGTCAGTCACGCCCGTGGGAACACTGAAGCCTTCCAACTTCTAATCAGCGGGTAGAGGTTCTTCACTTAGACCAGTTCTTCCAGGTCAAGGACTGTCTGGTCCCCTTGCGGTAGCCAAAGGCAGAGGGAACCAAAGCCGCGCCTTTGAGGAAGAAGCCTGAGGAGAGTGTGGGCACATCACATAAAAGGATAAACAAGAACTTTCATTTTCTCTTGGCCCCGGGGCAGGCATAACAGCAACACCAGAACATTGAGCCTTTTCACCAGAAACAGGGTTATTTTCACAAACAAAGCACCCCGATAGAGTCTCATTACTCAAGTTGATGGTTTAAAAACCCCACAGGACTTAGCATAGCCCTGAGAGAAGTGAGAGAAGGGGACCTGTGAGCTCATCCTAGGTGGGGAAGGTGCTGCAGGAAGCCCAGCTTCTGTAAGAGCAGGACTTGGCACTCATTTTGGAAACCAAAATAAAGAGGAATCAACACAGAATTGGTTGGAAGAAAGCTAGTCACCTCCCAAAGAAGGCAACTAAAAATTTCACAAGTGTGAACTGTGCTCTGTGAGTGGAGCCAGGTAAGTGGAATTTCCTCTTGCTGTTCAGGAATCAGGGTTTCATGGGCAGGTCCCCTGACCTGACAGAAAGCAGTGACTCATCGCCACAGCGCTGTTTCTGCCTGTGCTGGGCTCCATACCCAGAGGCCCGCAGGAAGAAATGGGGCCCGAATGCTCAAAAGCTCCCATTCGTCTTTACGCTTGAAAGGTCATTTTGAAAAGACTGATGAAAATTCGACAAACCCAAATATTAACCATGTCTTGAACTGTGAGCTCTTCTCATGCAAGAAACTAGCAGTTATTTTTCAGATGTGTATAAAATAAAAATCGTCCATGGAAGCATATTGTCCCGTCTCACACCACAGCTCAAGTGCCCAGATTAGTGGTGCACCCAAATATGGGACAAATGATGCCCAAAGCAACTGAGAGGCCCCAAAAGCAGCAGCAGAGTCAGGGGTCTTTTCAGACCAAGGTCCTTATATTGAAGGCTCCGAGAGGCGAGTTTTCCTTGATGCGGGCGTGACACGTATGGACCAGCACACACCAGCTCAGACTAAGTCTGGCTTCTAAAATAAGTTCATAAACCAAGCGACTCTCCTGGTAATCAATGAAAACGATAAATGGGCAGGGGATTTGATCACTACGTGGGAAGGCCACAGAAACTGAGTCATTTTTTGTTCTGGAGAAATAGGTTGAAGAAGAGAAACCTGGGGAAGCTGGCGGGTCTTTGGGGAGGAGAGCACTTGGTAATAGTCATCAGCAATATCAAAAGTTATGTGAAATATGGTGAGCAAGATCTTTTTAAATCTACAAGGAAAAAAAGTGAGAAAATGCACTTAACCAGCCATCCAATCCTCCAATCCACTTTGCACAATCCCTCCCCCCAACTACTGTTCTCTGCTCTGAAAGCCAGCTAGAGAACCTTGAATTTTGTGTATGTTTCGGGAGCACATATACTCAACGAATTCTACGGCTTTCTTTCTGTAGCTATCATTTTTCAAAACGGCTGCCAAACAGCTGTTGACCACTGCTTAACAGAATACGAGATCATTAGTAAAATATGAAATTTCACATGAGTAAACACATTATCTTAGCTATCGCTTCTGTCCTTAAAAGTCCCCTTGCTACTCATGGCCAAGGTCACCGGTGCCTTATAAAAAATGATTGTAAAAAGACTTCAAAGATTTCAAGAACTCTCTGGGCTTCTCTCATATCACATTTGGATTCAAACGCCCTCGTTCTGCTCTGATTTCCTAAAACGCCATTCTGTTGGCCCAAAGCTGGAGTCTCCGCAGAGCCTCTGGATAGATGGCTCAGTTGTCCTGAAACTTGGGTTTTGTTTTTTGTTTCAGCCCTAGTTCATTCACTGTCTCATCTTTGGTTTCATATTTTACAGCCCATGGATAAATCCTACCCAACATTACCTATCAGCTCTAACACCACAATTCAGCTCCCTGAGGAAGGCCCAGGAGGAGAAGCCCACAGCTACTACAGCCGGAATGCTAACATAAAGCCACAAATGCCACTTAGCATTTAATACAGCTGAGCCTCCTTTGTGATGGGCAAATGGCCCTAGGAAATGATCCACTTACCTCCTTGCCCGGGCATCATTTTGTTTTGATAGCTGTGGGCTCTATCTTATTGCACCTGTAAGTCCTGCTGATGTCTCAGCTCTGGACGCCATCCTCCTTGGGAATAAGCATAAGGAGCTCAGGTCAGTTCCTTGGTGGCTCGGCGTCACACTGGTCTTTGAGTCCTGCTCTGACAGCAATGCCCCAGTTGTCTGAGTTCAGCCACGTTTTGGAGATATACCCCTGCCTTATATCAAAATAGTCTCCTACGAAGTCAGCTTTGGCCAGTCTACCTTAGGACACACTAATTCAAAAGCTGATTTTTTTTTCCTTTAAGTATGATGACTCCATTTTTCTAAAACAAAAATTAAGACATAAAGTCTGATGACAAATAATTTTCTTATTTGTGTGAAATATTTAGTGGCTCATTTAATAAATAATCTTTATTGAAGCAAAATCCATACAAAGAAATACATTCAACTTTATATATTTACATATAATCAGCTTTGTAATTTTTGAACACTATAAATTGGAATTTTTCTTTAAAATATGGGTTATATTCCACCTTTGTCCTATATACTTGTATGTAGACATATTTGCTTCTTGAATTAACTTTATTTGTTTCTGCTATGGGGATATTTTTGCCATAAAAATATGCTCAGGCATTTTAGTTTCTATGTCACTAGGGAAAAAGGAAAGCTGTTTTCTTTAAGAAGGGAAAAAAAAAGTAGCCCATTTCTATGTGTGTAGGCATCTGTGTTTTCTACAGACCCGTAGATTCCTGGCCAAGTCAAATCAGCTGGTTCAGTGCTGAGGCCTTTACGGTCTAAAGATCTGGGCTGTATTTATTTCCTCTGTAAAAATAAAGCCCAGAACAGTTTCAAATGAGAGAATATGCATGCTAGTGCTTTGAGAGGAGCCATAAAAATACAAAGCATGTTATTAGTCATGGGGAGGGGTTCCAACTAAGCACCATGGTAAATGTGGTCAGGAGATCAGAGGTAAAGACCCCTAGAAAGCCCCTGAAGGCCATGCCTGCCTAGTCCTTAAAGGCAGGAAGGCTCCACCCTGCCCCTGGCAGGATGTGAGAGAGACTGAACCTGTCCTTTTCTGCTTCTTGTGGTCCTAGAACACTGCCCGCCACCCCACAACCACCCCCTGAGGAGAGAAAGTAAAGGAAAATAGATAGCAATAAAAGAAAGCAATGTGTATTCATTCTAATGAGCCTGGCCTTGTTAATACTGATCCTTTCCTGGGCAACCACTTTCTGCCTATAAGTCTGGTTGATCTGGAAACGATCCTCCTTGGGAAGAATGGGGCAAAATAAAGAGCTTTGCTTTTGCTTCATCTAATGCTCCTATTAAAAAGCATTTATACATAAGATATATATATAATAGAGATATAAGATATGGATAAATAGGTATAGGCCAATAAAATCAGGAGTTCTGTGTTGGTGTCAGGCATGGGCACCTTGTACTTCGGTAGTCCCTGTGATGTCCCTGTGATGGGCCAACCCAAGTATCTAACGAACTAGTTCTCTACCAGGCCAGTGTACATGGAAACCAAAACAGTCACGTGCAGCAACAATGCAGCTTAGGTCAAGACTAGCTTTTTCAGTGTTTCCCTGTGTATAAAACTTGCTGTAAATGATGAACTCTAGACTGTATGTCTACTCCCTCCTGAGATTGTATCATCTTCTTTACCTGTGTACATGTTCTTCAATCACTCCTTTTTTCACTCTCCAAATTTGTATTTATCTACAGCTTACCCAGTTTCAGTCTGGCCTTCTCCATAGGATCTGTTTGGAAAATGTCTAGAACTCAAAACACATTGTGTCAAGTTAGAGACAGGGAGCACCATTACCCAATGGCCCATGAGCTCTCTTGGGCTAGTTTCGAAAGTTAACATATAAATATATTTTAGCCCTCAATTAAGTGGTAAGTTCCTGGAGGTCTGAGCCTGTGCTTTTGGTTCAGTGCAATGTGTACAGAGGCGCACAGTATGTGTTTTGTATTAAATTTTTTCCAGGTTTCACTTATTCATGGGACCCTCTCTCTCCCCACTCTCCTCCTCCCCAAGTCACAGATCATTATTGTCACATTTTAATCCAAATTCAGGCAGATTTAGATTCTCCTCTCAGTATCTCTCAATTAGGGCAAGCCTCTTGCATGGAGGACATCCCCAAGAAAATTCAAATTAAGGTATTTATTTGATATAAAGATATGGAAAGTTTGAACCTGGCACCCTTGCTTCTGCGTTCTCCTGAAGAGCAGCGGTGTTTCGCTTCCTTGATATTATAAAGTTCTCTCCTGTCTTTCAATAAGCAAAGGAGGTCACCTAGGGAGGAACCCAGCCGGGCCTAAACAAGGAAGCCTCCTTGCGCCAAATCCACAGTCAGCAGAACTGTCCCAGAGCCATGGGCAGGGACTGCTGAGCTGAGTGAGACAGCGAAGGCAACCAGTCTGGAGCGGTGCGGGACGGTGGCACCAGTGACCCTCCCCCGCCACCACGCATCTGCCGTCAGCCAGGCCTTCTGCAACGTCCGTGGCAGCCACGCTATCAATTACTCCTCGCAACACTCCCGTGAAAGCAGGGCTAGTATTGGCCCCATTTAAAAGATGAGCACACTGAGACTCAGACTTCCAAGCAGAAACCTGCCTGTTACACCCCACTGAATGGGCTTTTCTGACAATTATTGAGGCTCAAGTCCAAGAAATGAAAACGTGTTGAACATGAGCTGAATATTCTTTATGAGAATGAAGTGATTCTGAAGTTGATTTTTCTAAAATGGCTCTGGGGGATGGGTGAAAAAGGCGAAGGGATGAAGAAGTACAATTTGCCAGTTATAAGAACAGTCACAGGGGATGTAAAATATAGCATAGGGAACATAGTAATATTGTAATAACTATGCATGGTCTAGACTTACCAGGGTAATCACTTTAAAAGTTATATAAATGTCTAATCACTATGTTGTATACCTGAAACTAATATATTATTGTATATGAACTGTAATATTTTTAAAAATTATAAATAAATAAATAAATAATAAATAAATAAATAAGTAAATAAATAAATAAATAAATAAAATGGCTCCAGAGACAATTTGAAGTGAAGGAAGGAAGGAAGGAAAGAAAAGGGGATAAGACCAAGAGAGAAAATAGAGTACATTCAACACAGTATGATTAAGTATTGTTTCATGAAATAATTTTCAGTTGGAAATCATTTTTAGACACATATGTTTACTGGAACATGATGTAAAAAATCATAGCCTGAAAACACTTGAGAAATACTGGCCTTGATCCTTGAAATAAAAATTTTCTTCAAAATACAGACAATGAATTTCCACAATTACTGGGCTAAATGGAGACACTTCCAAAGTTTGGCTTCCTACTAACCTAGCTTAGCTTCCTGGGGAAGTTCAAGAACCTTTTAGGTTTGCTTACCATGTCTCCATAATTGCCTCCCTCTTCTCCATCCACAGAAGCAGGGGAAATGCATGAGGGACCATTTCCTGACCCCTTTTTCCCAACTGCCTAAGAAGGCTCCGAACTGTCTTAAATTTCTGATCCTTTCTTGGTTGGGTGCTGAGTTCAGGATGCAGACTCTTGGTGAGCCCACCCTGAGTGAGGACTCTGTGCTGCTCCCATCTTTGCCTGACCACAAGAGTCCTCACAATCTCTTTGTTCCTCTCTCACCAAATTATGACCCTTTATGCTGGGAACTATTTACTTTCTCTGTGTCCCCACAATTCAGTGCCTCATATGCAGTTGGCACTTGGTAAATGTTTGACAAATTTTAAAAGTGAGCGAATTTATTATCAGTTAAGATCAGTCAGGTGAAGTATTACATTTAACTTAATTAAGGGCTCTCATTAACCAAGGGGTTAATAAGATTTGCTTGCTTAATAAATGTCTGGCTTTGAACCCAATTAAAATTCATCTTCCACTGATTACCAGGGTTAAGTGAAGGTCTCCAAATTACAGTCAAGGGTCCAGGAGACATGTGTTCCCATCTCATAAATGGTGGCCCCCAGTGAGAGTGGCCAGGAGGCCAGTTATTTGCCTGAGAAGGTGAAGAATACCTGCGGGAAGAAAAAGGATTCTGTGTTCGGGGGGGGAGACTGCTCAACAAAGGAGGGCAGGGCCACAGCAGGCTGGCCTCCCAGAGAGAACTTGGGGGGATCGTGAGCTCACCCAGAGGCCACGGGAGACGCTGGGGTGCCACACTGGAAACCAAGTGGTGAGGAGAGACATTTCTGGGTGCCACCCACAGGACACCTCTCAGCTGTCCCCTAACTTTGCCCTCAGGGAATTTAGTGTCAGGTCATACTGTACCTTTCCTGTAATAATTCAGGTGATGTGACCCTAGGGGAGTGACCGTGCCCCACCTCAGTCTGCAGAGTGAACCTTCAGACAGTAATGGTGGCACAGAGGTAGCCTTAGGTCAGTCCCCAAGGTGGAGAGGACCATGGCTGCAGCAGCTCCTACGCAGACCACTAGGGTGAACAGAGTGTGGAGCCCACACCTGCAGCAGAAACACCCTAAAAGCTATCTCTGAGAACTATGGAGTCACCCAGAGATGGAGGGAAGGAGAACCCTGAGGGGTGTTCTGGACCAGATTGTTGGGCAGGGGCTCAAAGCCAATGTTAGCTGTCATTCCTGTCACCATTATTAACTAACCCTTCATCTGACCTTTTCCAGCTGATGTGGCTTGGCAGAAAGTAGGGCTACCCCACAGTGTGGAAAATTCTTCAACATCAGTCAGCCTTTTTCTTGAGAATTCAGATATCTGCCAGCCCAGCCCTGGGGGCCTCATTCATGTCCAGGAAATGTGCTAGTGAGTCAGGCCCTGTGGGCATAATTTCATTATTAAAGAAGGTTCCTGTTCTACGAGGAACTAGAGATCTGGACTCTGTCCCTTTTGGCTTATTCTAATTTTAGGATATAGGGCTCCATGGTGCAAAACACACTTCTCTATGAAGCCACAGAAATCCCTTCTGAAATTACAGCTGGGTAATACTCTTGTTTCTATTCCTTTATCATATCAATTTGCTGTCAATGTGTACCAAAACATCTAGGAAATTTTCAAGTTTTGTACAACTATTGAAGAAACTTGTACAAAGCAGTACTGTTATTGACTCATGGTTTCCAATAAGGTTAGGGAGAACCAGACTCCTTATTTCTTCAGAATAATCTATCCATTAAAAGGTCATCCACTTGTTTTGTTAAAGACCTTAGATGCTCACATGGTCTATAGGCTCTTGGGGAAGCAGAAACATGTGTCCTTATGTTAACTCAGAGATAAAACATTGGGCGGGGGGGTGTCTCATTGTCTTACTTAATCCTCAAAATGGTATGAGCAGAGCTGACAGTCAGCCAACATGCAGCAGTAGGTTGTAAAGTTACTGACATGCTTCTTTCCTGGTGGTCTGCAGTCACTGCCTTGAGACCACTAAGCATCAGCCCCACCCTCCCCAGGCACCTATCCTCTCCCCTGGGGACCTCCACAACTGTTCCATGATCCAGGGCTAAAGCGTCAATACTGGTGACTGTTGTAATGGGTCAGTGTCCATGCTGTACTCACAGTTAAATATTCCTAATGTCACCCCTGCCTTATGAGGTAGATATGCGCTGTCCTCATTTGCACATGAAGAACCAGAAGCTTTAAAGAATATGGCAGACTCTCTTTTCCAAAACTGGTTACAAGAATATTTCCAGTCATGCATGCTCTTCAAGAACTTTGTTGCTTCCCCATCAAGAGTTGGTGTCTATCTCCCCTCCCCTAGAACCTGGGTGGGAGTGTGTAGCTGTCTCAATGAACAGAATGTGTGACTTTTGGGGTTAGGTTAGCAATGGAAATCCAGTTTCCACTTGGTTCTCTCTCGGGACACTCGCTGTTGGAACACAACCACCACGTAGAAGCCCACATGAAAAGGCCATATGTAGGTGCTCTGGACAGCAGTCCCAATTAAGGTCCCATTTGAGATCCCAGCTGACAGCTGGCATCAACATCCAGATGTGTGAGTGAATGAGCCTTCAGATGATTTCAGCTCCCTGCTGTCTAGTTACCCCTCAGCTTTTGAGTCTTCCAGCTAAGGCCCTAGACATCAGGAAACAGAGATAAAACTGCTATGCCCTGTAGAAATTTTTCACCCTCAAATTCATGAGTATGTAAAATGCAGGAAATTTATTACACAGCAGTACATGACCACAACAGAGAGATTAAACAATTTGCCCAAGGTCATACAGTTAGTAAATGTTGAATCCAGGATTTCAACACCAAATCACCTGCCTTTGAAAGCTAGCATTCTTAATGGCCAGGTGACACTGTTCCTGTGGCCACAACACCAAGAGACAGCATGGCAGGGTGAAGATGCCGGCTGGACCACCTTTCAGTCGCTTGTATGGAACTGATGGATGGGCCAGAGCTGGCATCATTCTCCATGGTGTTAACCCAGGCTCCTTTTATCCTATGACTCTGCTGTGTGTCCATTTCCAACATCATCTCCTGATCCAAGAAGGCTGCTCCAGTTCTAGCTATCACATCTCTATTCCAGTCATCGGGAAGAAGGGAAGAGAAGAGTATGCCTCACTTCTTAAAAAAATAAAAAACAAATAAATAAAAAAGTCCTGGAAGATGCAGACACCATTTCTATTTAATGTGCCACTGTCCAGAACTTAGTCACATAGTGCACCTGGCTGCAAGAGATGCCGGTGGAAGGAGTGGCTATCTTGGTGGGGCTTCAAGGGAAGGTATCTTAGAGAAGCTGAATTCTGAGTGATGTTTTAGAGGGCTACTGAACATGGATTTTCAAAGTAATTACTGTCTACGGGCTTTATTTTACTCTCTACAGGCTCAGAGAATAGAGAGAGCTCCTGATGATGAAAATGGAACATTAATGTACTTCCTACGCCTACATACGGAGACCTGCCAGGTGCTGAGCCCCTGCTTTTGCAAGAGGACGTGCTGTTTCCACCAAGCATATTCTCCACCGCCGACTCCTGGCAGCCTGTGGAACCACCATCTGATCCGAGGTAGGGGCTCCAGAGGCCAGCTGGGTGCTGGGGTGAGGCAGGGCTCACTTGTGGGCCCTGAGAACAGAGCCCAGGACACTCAGACAGAGGTCAGACATACAATGGGAATGCAGGGTGAGGGCGAGGGGGCCGCGGAGAGGGAGGAGACAGAGCCAGCAAGATAGAGGCCCTCTGAGCTGGGGAATGCAACACCTGGACCTTTTTATAAAACATCTCTGCAGTGGGAAGAGGGCAGCTAAGGTGCAGCTCTACGCTGCGCCTCTCTCTGCAGCTCCCGTCTGGAAAATGAGGGTGATAACTAGACTTGCCTCATTGGTTGTTATGAGTATTAGGCGAATCTGTATGTGTACAACCACTTAGAACTATGCTTAGCGCAAAGTAGGTGCTTAATAAGGGTTGTTGCTGTTGTTTCTAAACCTGGACAGAAGCAGCAACAGCTCCTAGAAAGAAAGTTGCAGAGGAACCCACTCGCCGCCTCGCGACATGCGCATCTTGACAGCACCCTGGCACCTCTTTCAGAAGGAATCCTGCTGAGCTGACCGCCCTTTGCTTTCGGGGGGTGGGGTGGGGTACACGCTGGCGGAGCCCCCAGGTCCTGCCAGCTGCAGTCCTGATCCATGATCTGTCTGGAAAGCCACAGGGGGCTGCCCAGGATTGGGGCCCGTGTTCTATCATAGCATGCACTGTGGGGACCACCCCACAGCCACCACAACCTCAGTCCCCAGCATGTGTTTGGTAGGGAACCACTGCTTTCTCCTTTCAGGGGGAGCTGTGACCTGAGAAAATCAAACTGCCATCATCCTGGGCACAGCCGACCCTGCAGCCTGCATTAATTCCTGGGTTTGTTGAAGGAGCAGTTCCCAGGGTTATCGTTAGAATTCACACTCCAAATGCTTTAGCAGGGAGAGAATTTTACTGATTAGTGAGAAGATGAAATGGCTTTGCTGAGTTGTCACAGTCACAGAGGAAAGAGAAAGTAAGTGCTAAAAACAAGTCCATGGTGTCCTCCGAGAGCTTCACTTTCTGCCTGCTGAAGCAGCTCTCCTTGTCACCATGGGCTCTTTGTGTGGCTAAGGGTGAAAGGCCCAGAAGTCCAGGGGCCCCTTCCCTTTCTTTACTGAGACCCTCTCCCCACAGCCACTCCTGGGCCAGCATCGGAGGGCCACTCCTCAGCTCAGCTGGCTTCCTGACTAGGGAGCGTCTAGCAGTGTTGGTCACTCATTCAGAAATATTTATCAAGGACCTGTCACATGCCAGGCACTGTACTAGGCCCTGGGAGAGAAAAGATGGATAAGATAAGTTGTCTGCTCTCTAGGGTCCTTGTCCACCTAGTGGGGTCACGACCATGAAAAAAGGTAAGCGGTAAATTCTATACGATAGGATTATTATATTATTATGGGACTCCACGGAGTGTGATGAGGGTCTGTACCACAACCCCCTACCTGATGAATGGCTTAGAGTTTACCCCTGTTGGGGAGAGTTATGTTTTAATAAAGGTTCTGAAAGGCAGAAAGGCATTCAAGAAAAAAAGAATTAATCTCCTTACCAATGAGAGAGATTAGGGGGCAGGAATTTCCTTGTGCTTTTCAATCATCTGAAAACACCTTCCTTATAAGATAGCCCAAGGACCCAAGACTGTAGCTCAGATGCCCACCTCATTCCAAGTGTCTTATCAGAAGAACCACCTAATAGTAACAGGTTTTTCTACAGAGAGGGGAAGGTTTGTCTGCTCCTAAGAAAAGCAAGATTTTTATCATATCTTTATACTAAGGACGTGATTTCCCCAAGAGTCAAACCCCTTTACAGGGGAAGAAGATGTCCAGCGTCTGTTGCTAATGCATCATCATTGATCTGGTAAAGAGATGCTCGTGGGTTCCTGGCCCCGGAGGGGGATTATCATGGGTTGCCCAGTAGCCTCAGCTAAAACGAGGCTTTATCTCAGCTGAGAGGATCTCCCTTTTTTGAAGAAAACTATGATGGGAGGTAAAGGGATATAGTTCTTGCCTTTTTACAACTTATTTCTGGCTAAGCATGACTTCACTGAATGATCTCAATAGAAAGGAAAAGGAGAAGCACCCTACACATTGGGGGCATCCTGGAAAGAGCCCCTCTTAGCACACTGCCCTGCCCACTGCCACTGCCATGGCCAAAATTAGAGCCAGGCTGTCCTGGGGCCCTACCCCTGTGAGGAGCAGACGTTCATTTAAAACTACACATAACTGGAAAAAAAGCCACCGGACTTGGGTCTGCAGGTCAACACAATATCCACAGGAAAAATGCTGTGCTAAAAGTCCAAGACAGAAGCCCAGGAGAAATAAAGGGGCACCAACCCTTACCCTGCCTTCAACGAGTTAACAGCCTACCTGCAAATTCACCCCAAAGAGCAGAGACTACCTAGTAGCTTCCTCTCCCCAAGTTCTGACAAGCAGCTAAAACACTAAGTGCTGAGAAAGGAGGGGGGGTCCAAGGAAGAGAGCAATTCTGTG